GCCTGGAGACACATGATGACAAGACCCCCAGTGAGGGAGACTGCCCTGTGTGCTATGTGTTTGCTGGGCACACCCTGCTTTGGGTGATAAAGATGAGCACTTTCGGTCTGAGGCTCATTGGCAAGTTGGCACACGGAAGGCGCAGAGGTCGGGATGAAGGCCACAGGTACAGGCCATCTGGGCGAGGACAGCAAAGCCTTCCCTGAGCCGCCAGCTGAGTCATCTGGACAGAAGGTACAAAGGCCTGGAGATGGACTGTATGGAGGCTGAAAGGAAAAGGAAGAAAGAAATTAACCTGCATACAAGTCTCGGCCAGTGCTGTGATCCTCCCTTCCCGGGAACTGGAGAGTAATGGCTGTTTGGGAGAGTAGTTGAGGTCGTTTGCACGGGTTTCTGGGAAACCCAGGAGATCCACCATCCACAGTAAGAAGGCCCTGTGTCGGATTTGGGAAGGAGCCAAGGACCACAAGTGATGCTCTCCACTTCCTGTGTCGAGACGCCAGAGCTAAGCACTAGCCACACCGAGAGGGACCAGGCCGCCGGGCTGTTGGCAGAGGCGTACCGAGCCTGGAGCTAAGGTTAGAAACTCTTCCTGGAGAGAAGGCGAGGGTGGGTTTCCAGAGTCATGTGTGCCAGAGACCAGGATTGAGCTTCTGGTGGACCTGGGGCTGAGGCCTGGTGCTGCGCTGTCCCTCTGCGTACTGCCTCAAGCATCCCTGGCCCTCGGTGTCTTCCTTGCACCAGCCCGAAAGCCCCTTGAGCCTGGGGACTGTGTTTTTCCCCTCTCTGTCTGCTGAGCACCTCCCAGGATGCCTCAAATGTAACAAGTTCTCATTACACTCTTTTAATGAAACGTAATTACACTGGATTTTCCAAGGCCAATTTTAGCTGCGAATCGTTGTTCTCACGCTGCCTGTGACAGTTTGAGGCCACCGTATTCTAGCCACCAAGGCAGCGAGCGCTCGGAACGCAGCCTGACATCCTCTTCACCTGTGGGGACTCGAACCCAGAGGGCTAATTCTGCTATTTTTGGAGAACCATAGACTATGCTCTCAATTGGAATACAAATGCTCTTTTGTGTCCTACCTACCATTGTTCCCGAGCTCTCGCGTGAAGATGGGAAGTCAAGGACGCATGTAATAACAACAACAGCCACTGTTCAGTGAGACTGAGCACGTGCAGGCACGGTTCTCAGTGTCAGGCTGCGCACTTCACCAAGTGCCCCCAGCGATATTTGTTGCTGCCCCTCTCATCCACAACAGGATCCTAAAAGTGGGGAGGGGGTCCAAAATCACACAGCTAGCAAGTGGGGGGACTGGGATTTGAATCCGGGTAGCCCTGCTCCAGGGCTCGCAGCCCTAACTGTTGTGCTGAAGGAGCCCAGAGCGAGAAGGTAAGAGCTTTCATGGGGTAACATCAGAGGCCCCCACACATCTGTCGGTTTGTCACCCTGGGGTGGTTTACATGTCGCTACGATGCTGCAGGTTATGCCATTGGTGTTTCGAATACTAGCAAGGTCACCCATGTGGACAGGTTCCAGCAGAGCCTCCAGACTGAGACAGACTAGGAAGAAAGGCTTGGTGATCTCCTTCCAGAAATTAGGCAGTGAGAACTCTACAAATCACAGCAGAACGTTGCCCGACCCGCTTGCTTGGCCGCATCATCAGGAGGGCCCCACGAGAGCCAGGGCAGCCCTCGGGGAGATGGACGGGCGCCGCCGCCACAGCAGTGGACGTGCGGGCGATTGTGAGGCGCAGGACTAGACAGTGCGTCTGGTGCACACGGAGTCCCCACAAGTCGGGGCCATCTCAGTGGCAGCCTTCCCCAGAGGATTCTCGACGACGCCCGTCAGCGAACTGCCCGGGCTTTCTGCAGCACCAGGCGGGAGGACTGGCTTCCACAGGCAAGAAGAGAATCAGAATCTGACATCAGCTCAGAGACGTAGGTTGAGGCACTTGCCTGGGCCTAGCTATCAGCGCCTGTCATTCCCTTTTGCTAAACTTGGGTTCGGCACGCACCAGATGCAGCCTTCTGGTTGCCCCTACCCCACCCGTATCCCCGGGACCACAGCTCCTCAGGGACCCCGGCACCAGGATGGAATCCCTGCCATGCCAGACGCCCTGCCAGTTCCTCTCCCCCATCTTAAAAGCCCGGGCTCCCCCATTGGGCCGCTTCCCTGCCTCGCCAGCTGAGAACGCATGTGTTTTAAAGCTCTGAATGGGCCATTCCGGCGCGGAGTCCAGATGCATTTTTATATCTGCGTGGAAAAAAAATGCAGCAGCTCTGCTGGCAGTCAGAAAGAGATTTTAAAATTAAAGTTAAAAAAATAAAAGGAAAGAAAAAGTTCCCTGCACCTGGCCCTTCTGGGAAAAAGCGTGGTGGAGAACAAAGCACGCCTTTCATTGGCCACATGTCTGGTTGTTAGAGCCCCATGCCCACCCGGCAGCCTCCCGGTGCTTCAGAGCCCGATGTGGGAATACCTGCCTTGTGCTGGCCACCTCGTCGTTGCATTGGAGTCGCACAATGACCCCATTTGACAGATGAGGAAACAGGCTCAGAGTGGGCCAGATGACTTACCCAAGGTCACACTGCGGTTGAGGACCAGAGGTGGAGCGGTTCCTCCTTACAGGTACAGAAGAGCCATGGGGACACAGCCCACTCCTCTCCACAGACCAGATGGTACTTTCTGCAACCCAGGAGTAGGGGGAAGGCTTCCTGCAGCCACTGTTGCTCCCCAGTGCCGGCCAGCGCCTGACACCTAAAACCCAACCCTTTGCTGTCACATCAGTTCCCCACTCACGGTGCCCCTGTGTGTCTCAGGGTGGAACTGGGCTCCATAGGGTTTTCTGCAGCTGATTTTCTGGAAGGAGATCTCCAGGCCTTTCTTCTGAGGCCTGTCTGTGGACTTGAACCTCCAGCCTTTCCATCAGCGGCCGAGCATGTTAACCATTCGTACTGCCCAGCGAGCTCTGTTGTTGTCAGGTGCCATCAAGTCTGCTCTCGACCTGGAGCAGGCCAAGGTGAGGGAGCAGAACGCCCCTGTGGGGTTTTCTAGGCTGTCATCTTTACAGGAGCCCATCACCAGGTCTTTTCTCCTGCACAGCCACTGGGTGGGTGTGAATCTCCAATCTTTTGGTTAGCAGCTTGGTGCCTAATCATTGCACCACCAGGGTTTCCTCCACCCAGTTCTTTCCTGAGTCCTCCCCACTGAGGATGACACTATAAACCTGGTGAGTCTACGGCAACACCAGGAAAACCGTGAGCACTGGTGGTGATTACGAGAGCTTCCCACGTGCCCCCATTCCACCTGAACCCTTATGCTCACTCTTCATCTCCATGGCCTTTGGGCTGGAATCCTGTTGATATTCCCATTCTGCAGATGAGGACACTGGGGCCAGAAGGCTGATGTCACTGGCACGAGGTGTTGCAGCTAGACGTGGCGGGGCCTGCCATGCTTGGGTAGGGTGGCTCTGGAGTCCAGGCTCTTGGCCACTTAGCCCCAGGACATCTGTGTACCATGAGACCCAACCAGGTTGCACAGTGCCGTCAGTCACAAAAGACTGCAGACTGCATGACTCCATTTAAAAGAAAGGTCCAGGATAGGCAGGTCCAGAGAGACAGAATATAGAGATGAACAGTTGCCTAGGGCCGGGGATAGGACCTGGCAGTTCAAACCCACCAGCCGCTCCT